GATGAATGGAGGTAGTAGTATAAAGTGTTTGAGCTACGCAAGTAAGTGTATCCACAACCAGAATTAAAAAAGACAGACACAAGTGTCCTTCATGCATTCCATCTTTTGCACAAAGAAAACAACTGCTCACCAAACATAAAGAAAGTGAAAATACAAAAGTGGGTCTTCCACCTTTCCCTACTAGAATTTATATACAAGTGAGTTTACTGTATATTATAAATACAATGGACCACCATAGGAGTAAGTAGGAGTTGGGATAGGCATACTTCAAAGCACATCTATTTTCTTTCTTTCTTATTATTATTTGTCATAAAGTAAAGATGCATGGATGGATCCCTAGACCATACCTTCCTTCTTCAGCCTCTCAGCTTAAAGCATCAGAACCAGATTACCATTCATACAAGTGTTTTACTTGTTGTCCATTTTCCCCCAATGGAATCTCTGTTGTTGTGGGGGAGGAGGAAGTCAACCCACATCATTAGTGTGCTATTTTAATAATGCAAAAAAAAAAAAGGCAAAAGTGAACAAGAATGGGAAGAGATGTATTTGAGTACAAATGTCCTCTTCTGATGGAACTGGTCTGCCTTGAGGAGAGACAATTGTAAGTCAGTAATTGTCAAATCCAATGCACTCCATTTCCTCCACTGGCCCTACTCTCCTCACTATTTGTAATCACTATCATTTCAATTTTCAGGGTTCTTACTTATATAACACAAGACAATGGGCCTTGGGCTTAGAGCTCTATTTGCTTGCTTCTACCATTGGATAGACAAAGAGGAAACAACATTACCAATTGCCCTGGAATGTGATGTAGACACATTAGAGAAGAAGAAGAAGAATAGTAGCTGCTCAAATTCAGTAGTCAGTCACCAAACAGATCGTCGTTGTCGTCTTCTTTATCAACCCTTCCGCTTTGAGTTTCTTCTTTATCCTTAGCTGCTGGTACACTCACAGAAGCCCATGACGTACCAACCGCCTTCTTAAGTGAATCACCACCGTAAAGATCATCATAAATCCCCACTTTTGGACCTCCTCTTAGCTTCTCCATTGCTTCCTGGAGTCTATTTGTCACACCTCTGGTGGTTCCTGTAAACGCTTTCTCTTCATTCCCTTTTCCTTTGGGTATCAGTGTCACTTGCACCAGTGATTCATATTTACCAACTAAGCTCCCTTCTTTGACACCAATCGGACCAGGCATTGTTTCCACGTCTGCACCATCTGATATCCCAACAACCTCAGCTAGCTCTCCTCCTAGTTGATCCCTGAAGCTCACTCGTACTTTCTTCTTCACCCTCTTACCCACCACACCAGCTTCTGATCCATCCTTTTTCCTTTTCCCTAGCATACAGCCCGATTCTCCATTGCTCAAACCGTATCGATTCAGCAACGTATTGTATGCAACAACGGCATCCTCGTCAGAAGCATCAGGAGGCGGTGGAAGCTTAATCTCTGCTTGAGGAGGAGGCCGAATAAAGAGAGCCTCACTGTTCTTTCTCAGAATGTATATTCTTGTAGAGGCAGCAAACCGTAATGATTGCCCAACTTCAAGCTCCACAGGACTATCTTTAGTCAATCTCTCATTTGCAACAAACGTACCATGAGCTGATCCCAAGTCAATCACAAAGATGCTACAACATGAACAAGGACAAACACCAACAACATAAAAGAGACTCCTTTCAATGTCTAGATACATACAAGAGTTAGCCAAAGCAAATACGAGTAGTGAAGTGAATTAACAAACCTGCCGTTCTTGTGGGGAACTACGGCTGCGTGCTGGCGAGAAACAGACTGATGATCAAGCACGAAATCACAAGTCTGATGCTGTCTACCGAAGATATGTCTCCGTCTATCAAGATGAATCCGATCAAGGATCTGGCCGTCTTTTACAACTTCCAGAGAGTATACACCGGCACGAGGCTCAATCGCCCAATCAGGTGGATGCCAATTTGATTGACTCTCTCCAATCTGGGTTTGACTCGCTAATGGCGTCGCCGTCTCCGGAGACAATTGTGGCGGCTTCTTCGCAGGGCGAGGATTTGCCGACACTGAGAAGGGTTCCGAAGTTTGTGATTTCTTAAACCTCTCAAGACCTGATCTTCCATACATTCTCTCTGCAACTCGAATTTCAAAAACCCAACTCTTTTTTTACCTTCACATCAACAAATACTACT